TTATTTCCAGCTGGATTGTGTCCGTCTTCAGCCACCAATATCCCACCGTCAAGAGAATTAGGGTCCCCCCGTTCAGCGCTGTGGATCAGATTTATTGGGCCTGATCCTCAGCTGGTGTCAATCCATGGGGCTCGGGCGATTGACACCAGCTCAGGATCTGGCCCCGGGTTAATAGAAATAATTTCAGGATTGGGGGAAAAAAAGTTTGAAAAGAGCTTTTGGTTTGGCTGGAGAATCCGCCCGCCTGCAGCTGCCCAGGGTCCCGAAGGAACGTCTCCTGTCATGATCCTTTGTCTGAAGCAGCTGGCACTGGCCGAGGCGGGACACCGGGCTCGATGGGCCCCCCCAGGCTGAGCCACTGTAACTAACCCTGTTGGTAGCTAATTCAATCTGCTCTGTGCAAATGTTCGTTCCTATTGTAATCGAATCTAAGGCAAGCTAATTTGATCCCATCTGATCTATATTTCTGCCTGTTTCTATTTCTAATTGAATCTTACCCCATCTGTAGAGAGGGAATGAATAAACCAGGGCAATTATCGACTGGTCTACCCCCTGTCCTCCAGCCCCAGCTTCTGGCAGGCAGAGGTTTAGGGACACCCTGAGCATGGGGTGTCCTTAAAGAGGTTTAGGGACACCCTGAGCATGGGGCTGTGTGCCTGCCCATCCTGGCTAAGAGCTGTTGATGGACCTGCCCTCTATGAACTTCTCTGGTTCTTTTCTGAACCCAGTTATACTTTTGGCCTTCACAACATCCCCTGGCGAGGAGTTCCACAGGCTGACTGAGCGTTGTGTGAAGAAATGCTTCCTTTTGTTTGGTTGAAACCTGCTGATCACTGATTTCACTGGGTGACCCCCTGGTTCTTGGGTTATGTGACGGGGTAAATAACACTTCCCAAGTCACTTTCTCCACCCCGGGCATGATCGTACAGACCTCTCTCAGATCCCTCCTTAGTCGTCTCTGTTCCAAGCTGAACTGTTCCAGCCTTTGTAATCGCCTCACACAGCAGCTGTTCCACCCCCCATCACCATCACCCCCCCCAGCACTCACTGCTTAGGGCACCCACAGCTGTTCCACCCCCCCATCACCCCCCCCCATCACTTGTTGCCCTTCACGGCACTTTTCCCGGTTCTAATATATCTAGTTTGAGCTGGTGTGACCAGAGCTGCGGGCCACATTCGAGATGCTGGGTGACCTTGGGCACATCCCCTGCCTTCTGTGTGCCTCAGTTTCCCCTCCCGTCCTTTGTCTCTTTAGACTGTGAGCTAATTGGGGCAGGGACTGTCTCTCAATGCCTGTCAGTGCAGCACAGTGGGGCGGTGATCTCGGATGGGGTCTGGGCAGTGCTGGCCCCCTGCACTATCCTACTGTACAGCTGATAATAGGCCGACCCACCAGCCCCACAGAATAAATGACACCCAGCCCCACTCCTTGCATGGGAGGGTGAGGAGTCGGATCTCCCGAAAGTGGGGGGGAGGGACTCCCTGTAGGGTCATTGGTATTTCTATAGGGGAAAGGGCCCCGGGCAGGAGGAGTCTCCGTCTTGATGGGATTTCTCTAGGGGAAAAGGTCTCTCTGCCTTTACAGCTGCATTTCTGTAGGGGATGCTGCTGTTTAAAGGTGTCTTTTATAAAAGCACTGTTTATATAGGGGGGGGTCTCACTGGAGGGGGAAAGTCTGTCTATCGGTGCCCTATAAGGGCCTGTGTAGCGGAAGAGTCTCTCTCTGAGGGCTCTCTGGGGGGGAAGTGGTCTCTCTACGGAGTTCGTCACGGGACCTCTCAGTCTTTAGGGGTTTCAGAGGAACAGCCGTGTTAGTCTGTATTCGCAAAAAGAAAAGGAGTACTTGTAGCACCTTAGAGACTAACCAATTTATTTGAGCATGAGCTTTCGTGAGCTACAGCTCACTTCATCAGATGTATACCGTGGAAACTGCAGCAGACTTTATATACACACAAAGAAAAGGAGTACTTGTGGCACCTTAGAGACTAACCAATTTATTTGAGCATGAGCTTTCGTGAGCTACAGCTCACTTCATCAGATGTTTACCGTGGAAACTGATGAAGTGAGCTGTAGCTCACGAAAGCTCATGCTCAAATAAATTGGTTAGTCTCTAAGGTGCCACAAGTACTCCTTTTCTTTTTGCGAATACAGACTAACACGGCTGTTCCTCTGAAACCTGTCTATATACACACAGAGATCATGAAACAATACCTCCTCCCACCCCACTGTCCTGCTGGTAATAGCTTATCTAAAAAAGAAAAGGAGTACTTGTGGCACCTTAGAGACTAACCAATTTATTTGAGCATGAGCTTTCGTGAGCTACAGCTCACTTCATCAGATGTATACCGTGGAAACTGCAGCAGACTTTATTCTCTGTGTGTATATAAAGTCTGCTGCAGTTTCCACGGTATACATCTGATGAAGTGAGCTGTAGCTCACGAAAGCTCATGCTCAAATAAATTGGTTAGTCTCTAAGGTGCCACAAGTACTCCTTTTCTTTTTGCGAATACAGACTAACATGGCTGTTCCTCTGAAGCTTATCTAAAGTGATCATCAGGTGGGCCATTTCCAGCACAAATCCAGGTTTTCTCACCCTCCACCCCCCCACACAAATTCACTCTCCTGCTGGTGCTAGCCCATCCAAAGTGACAACTCTTTACATAATCAAGTCGGGCTATTTCCTGCATAAATCCAGGTTTTCTCACATTCCCCCACCCCCATACACACACAAACTCACTCTCCTGCTGGCAATAGCTTATCTAAACTGACCACTCTCCAAGTTTAAATCCAAGTTAAACCAGAACATCGGGGGGGGGGGGGGGGGGTAGGAAAAAACAAGAGGAAACAGGCTACCTTGCATAATGACTTAGCCACTCCCAGTCTCTATTTAAGCCTAAATTAATAGTATCCAATTTGCAAATGAATTCCAATTCAGCAGTTTCTCGCTGGAGTCTGGATTTGAAGTTTTTTTGTTTTAAGATAGCGACCTTCATGTCTGTGATTGCGTGACCAGAGAGATTGAAGTGTTCTCCGACTGGTTTATGAATGTTATAATTCTTGACATCTGATTTGTGTCCATTTATTCTTTTACGTAGAGACTGTCCAGTTTGACCAATGTACATGGCAGAGGGGCATTGCTGGCACATGATGGCATAGATCACATTGGTGGATGTGCAGGTGAACGAGCCTCTGATAGTGTGGCTGATGTTATTAGGCCCTGTGATGGTGTCCCCTGAATAGATATGTGGGCACAATTGGCAACGGGCTTTGTTGCAAGGATAAGTTCCTGGGTTAGTGGTTCTGTTGTGTGGTATGTGGTTGTTGGTGAGTATTTGCTTCAGGTTGCGGGGCTGTCTGTAGGCAAGGACTGGCCTGTCTCCCAAGACTTGTGAGAGTGTTGGGTCATCCTTTAGGATAGGTTGTAGATCCTTAATAATGCGTTGGAGGGGTTTTAGTTGGGGGCTGAAGGTGACCGCTAGTGGCGTTCTGTTATTTTCTTTGTTAGGCCTGTCCTGTAGTAGGTGACTTCTGGGAACTCTTCTGGCTCTATCAATCTGTTTCTTTACTTCTGCAGGTGGGTATTGTAGTTGTAAGAAAGCTTGATAGAGATCTTGTAGGTGTTTGTCTCTGTCTGAGGGGTTGGAGCAAATGCGGTTGTATCGCAGAGCTTGGCTGTAGACGATGGATCGTGTGGTGTGGTCAGGGTGAAAGCTGGAGGCATGCAGGTAGGAATAGCGGTCAGTAGGTTTCCGGTATAGGGTGGTGTTTATGTGGCCATTGTTTATTAGCACTGTAGTGTCCAGGAAGTGGATCTCTTGTGTGGACTGGACCAGGCTGAGGTTGGTGGTGGGATGGAAATTGTTGAAATCATGGTGAAATTCCTCAAGGGCTTCTTTTCCATGGGTCCAGATGATGAAGATGTCATCAATATAGCGCAAGTAGAGTAGGGGCTTTAGGGGACGAGAGCTGAGGAAGCGTTGTTCTAAATCAGCCATAAAAATGTTGGCATCCTGTGGGGCCATGCAGGTACCCATAGCAGTGCCGCTGATCTGAAGGTATACATTGTCCCCAAATGTGAAATAGTTATGGGTAAGGACAAAGTCACAAAGTTCAGCCACCAGGTTAGCCGTGACATTATCGGGGATAGTGTTCTTGACGGCTTGTAGTCCATCTTTGTGTGGAATGTTGGTGTAGAGGGCTTCTACATCCATAGTGGCCAGGAACTATTAATTTAGGCTTAAATAGAGACTGGGAGTGGCTAAGTCATTATGCAAGGTAGCCTGTTTCCTCTTGTTTTTTCCTACCCCCCCCCCAGATGTTCTGGTTTAACTTGGATTTAAACTTGGAGAGTGGTCAGTTTGGATGAGCTATTACCAGCAGGAGAGTGAGTTTGTGTGTGTATGGGGGTGGGGGGGATGTGAGAAAACCTGGATCTATGCAGGAAATAGCCCGACTTGATTATGTAAAGAGTTGTCACTTTGGATGGGCTAGCACCAGCAGGAGAGTGAATTTGTGTGGGGGGGGTGGAGGGTGAGAAAACCTGGGTTTGTGCTGGAAATGGCCCACCTGTTGATCACTTTAGATAAGCTATTACCAGCAGGACAGTGGGGTGGGAGGAGGTATTGTTTCATATTCTCTGTGTGTATATAAAGTCTGCTGCAGTTTCCACAGTAAACATCCGATGAAGTGAGCTGTGGCTCACGAAAGCTCATGCTCAAATAAATTGGTTAGTCTTTAGGGGCGCATTTCTGTAGGGGATTCTGCCTATAGCGCTCTGCTTACAAGGGCTGAGTCCATACAGGGCTCTCCCTCAACGTGTAGAGGGAAGCGTCCATAGGGGGTCTCTGGGGGTCTCGCTATAGGGTCTCCGCCCGGGGCCGGGCTGTCTCCGGGCGCTCTATAGGGTCTCCATAGGGGACGCTGCCCCTACAGGGCTCCGGCCGGCAGGTGGCGGCGCGGTCCCGGCGCCCGGACCCGGAAGGTGCCGCCCCCGGCTCGGCCCCGCCTGCCCAGCCCGGCCCGGGGCGCCCAGCGCGGAGCGGAGCCGGCGGCGGCGGGACGGAGCCACATGGCGGCCCCGGAGCGACGGGCCTTCGCCCAGCGCATCAGCCGGTGAGAGACCCGGCGGCCCCCCCGGCGCCCCCCCCGGGTCCCAGCGCCCCCCCCCGGGCACCCAGCGCGTCCCCCCCAGCGCCGCCCCCCCCGGGCACCCAGCGCCTCCCCCCCGGGCCCCAGCGCGTCCCCCCAGCGTCCCCCCCAGCGTCCCCCCCCGGGCCCCCAGCGCCGCCCCCCCGGGCCCCAGCGCGTCCCCCCCAGCGACCCCCCCGGGCCCCCAGCGCCGCCCCCCGGGCCCCAGCGCGGCCCCCCCGGGTCCCCAGCGCCGCCCCCCCGGGTCCCAGCGCGTCCCCCCAGCGTGTCCCCCCCAGGCCCCAGCGCGTCCCCCCCAGCTCGTCCCCCGGGCACCCAGCTCGTCCCCCGGGCACCCAGCGCGTCCCCCCAGCGTCGCCGCCCCCCCCCGGGCCCCCAGCGCGTCTCCACTGCGCCCCACCAAGGCACCCACTACTCTGGGCACTGAGCGCCCCACCCAGCACCCCTCCGAGGGCACCCAGCACCCACCCAGAGTCCAGCCCCTCCAGCCTACTTGCCCAAGGGCACCCACCCACCCCTGCCTGAGAGCACCCAGTCCCTACCCAGCCCACCCCAAGGGCACCCAGCGCCCTTGCCCTAGGCAGCCCCTCTGGGGCGCCCAGCACTCACTGCTTAGGGCGTCCACCCCCCAGCACCCACCCAGTGAAGGCACCCAAGGCACCCACTGCCCAGGACACCCACTTCCCAGCCCCCTCAGGGCCCCCAGCCTCATGGTACCCAGTCCCCAACCCACAGTGCCAGCGGTACCCCCCTACTGCCCCCTGTACCTACCCCATGGGCACCCCAGTCTGTGCACCTCCTCCCATCCCTGTGTATCTCCCTCTGCATCCCGTGGGCCCCCCTAAGCCCACGGTGCCCCCACTCCCAGCTCCGATCCTCCCCATGGCAAGCTAATGGGCAGCCACTCCTATTCCAGACCCCACAGGCCCCTGTGGGGCACCCCCCATTTTCCATCCACCCACGAACACCCCCAGCCCTGATCCCTCCCCTGTGGGGCACCTCTGAGCCCCACAGCTCCCTCTGCACTGGGGGCGCCATGTCCCCATCCCGTCTGACAGCCAATAGCCTGGTGCTCCCCAAAACCTGCTTCCACCTCCCAGCAGAGCCCCCTCCTGCCAGGCGTAGGCTGAACAGGCCAGGGGGGGTCCCCAGGATGTGCACTGGGGGAAGGGGATAGAATCCTGAGCAGCTTCCTAGCACGGCCTTGGTGGGGTGGGTCTCTGGGGGAGGAGTCCTGTGCCCTGTGGGGTCCCAGCTGGCATCCCCCCTTCCCCCCCAGGTGGGCGTGTGAGCCAACCACCCCTCCTACCTTTGCCGGATGGGAGCATCCCCCGCACTCGCCTCTTTCTAAAGATGTGGGATTGGGCGCCGATGGGGCTGAGAACTGGAGTCCCCCCCCCCCCCCCCAAATGTGAGCTGAGCCCCGGCCCCAGAAGATGGCGGGGCAGCCAGGTATCCCCGCTCTCCCCTTGTAAGGCGCATTGGTGACTTCTTGCACGTGCTTGTGCCGGGCGTGTCCCGTCGTGAAATGCTGGAGCTGTGCGGGGCCGGGTCGGCGTCCGAGACGCCAGGCTGCCTGTGGTGCGGGAGGCCCGGTGTGTTTCAGGAGGGTGCCCCGTGACGAGGTGGGTTTTACCACCCCAGCGTTCGTGGCTGTGCTTTTAACAGCTCGCCGTCGCCCCACAACCTTGGCACGGCTGCAGCCTCGTGTAGACGCTGCTGTGAGAGGGTGACCGTAGCGGGCGCTGGTCCCCCCTTCGGGGAGCCTAGTGCAGACGGGCTGAGATGATCGCCGGTGGGAAGCATGGGCTGGCCCCGCGACAGCCCTCCGTTCCGCACGAGCGCTGACTCGGGCCAGGTAACGCGGCGACATGACAAGTGGCCCGTCTACACAAGGATCGTAACCCGTGTGTGCCTAAGGGGCTAACGCCCTCTGGATCCAGGCAAGACCTGCCCTAGGCCACGGTCACCAGCGCCTCCTCCCCTTCCCGGCCCTCGGCCAGCCCCACTTTGGCATGTATTGTTTCATCCCGCGGAAGGAAATTCTGACCCATTTCCTGGCTCTCCCCGCTGGGACCAGAGCTGGCCCTGCAGTTTTTAATTGCTGGACTTTGTTGCCTTGCCTGCTTGGGGGGCGTGTGTGTGTGTGTGTGTGTGTGCAGGGGTTTGCTTTTCCTCCAGTTTGCAAAGTGTGGGGCTAATGCTCTGGCAAAGCGCTGGTGTCTCGTAGGTGGAAGGCGGGGAGCTGGGCCCACCCACGCACCCATTCAAATTTAAATAGCAGTTCGTGGACGTTGAACTGTGTCGGTTTTGTTCTGCGGCCGGAGTCTTGGATTTGTGTCCCGTCGTTTTCTTGTTCTGTAAAAAAACTCCACACACAACCCAGCTCAGCGTCCGGCAGTCGCCTGGCAATAACCAAAGGAGTAAGAGCAGGATCTCCGGGGTGTGTGTTGGGGCAGGGTTGCAAAATGGACGATGCCGGGGCCTTTGGGTCATCTCATGAGCTGGCAGCAAGCGGGGAGCAGGTGTGTGAATAATTCAGTGCTCTGGGCTCTTCCCTCCCCCTGCCTCTGTGGTTGCTTTCGGCTTCCTCTTTCCTTCACCAGGCTCCTGGTGGCGGATGTGTGTGCGGCGGGCTGGGCCGCCGGGCCTGTGGCTGCACTTGGCCCCGCTGGTTTCCAAGGGGAAGGCAGAGGGGCAGCGGGCAGAGACACGTCCCGTGGGGTTAGCTTGGGGGCGTAAGAGACGGGTCTGGGACCTGGGGGACCTGCCCGGGCTGCAGACTCCCTTGGGCAAGTCTCTTCATTTACGCATCTAAGGTACTTGTCTGATCCCCATCCCCGGGGTATCTGGGCGCCTCACAGGGCCCAGGCCAGCGCTCTAACCACTGCACCATCCTTTCCCTCCACTCTCTTGGCCTTGGTTCTCCCAGCTGCAAAAATGGGCACAAAAGTCCTCCCTCCCCCCTCTTGTCTCATTGGACTGTGAGCCCCTTCTGGCAAGGACTCTGTACAGCACCCAGCACAGCACCCGGCACAGCAGGGGAGCCTCCCCACTGCTCCAGGGCGGGGCCCTTGCAGCGATCACAAGGCTCCAAGGTGCTATCACAGAATCCATAAATAATCCATCGTACAGCCTGCGGCAGGAGCCTGTCTCTGAGCTAGTCCCAGGAGCGCAGGGCGGCTGTCCCTACCCCAACCCCTCCCATTCGCCCCTAGCTCCCAGCCTGTGGGGAGCTGGCGAGGACAGAGTCCGCGATGCGGGAACTCACAATCTGGCAAGACAATCCTGGCTTTGCTGGTGACATCGGGCCAGGCATCCCTCCTTGCCTCAGTTTCCCCATCTGTAAGGGGGGTGAGTGATCTCCCCTAGCCTCTGCAGAGGCGGGTGGCCCATGCTGGATGAGAGCCAAGGCAGGGATTTAGGTGCCGGGCTCCCATTGAGTTACTTGGGGGCCTGACTCCCTTCAGCTAAAGGGGGCCCGGTGTTACTGTGGGGCTGCAGGTGGCCGGGTTCCCCCTCCCCACAGCCAGCGTACCGGAGAGAGGGAACCAGTCGCCACCAGGCTTCCTGGCCCTATCCCGGCACCTCGGAGCCGGACAGATGTGCCCCTCCCCGCCCCCACCCACACACACAGGGCCAGGTTGACTGCAGCTTATTTACGGCCTGCACATCCTCCCCCAGACATGGCACCGCCCCACTTCCCCTGCCCTGAGCTCCTGGCTGGGCCTGCCCCGGAGGAGGGGAGGGGGCAGGAAGGCTGTCCCGCGGCTGGACCACTCCCCTGGCGTTGTGGATTCCAGGGCCCGAGGGGACCCCGGTGAGCAGCTGGTCTGACCGGCCGCCGGGTGCCCCGATTCCGTTCCTCACCCTGGACAGACCCTCTGCCTGGATGGAGAAGCCACCGCAGCCCGGGGCGAATTGCACCCAGGGTCCATTCCCCTCCTTTCCAGTCTGAGTTCATCTCACTCCCACTTCCAGCCTCCTTCGGCTGCTAGACTCGAGAGCCCGGTGTGAAGTATTTGTTCCCCAGGCCGATACTTCTAGCCTGTGCTGTAGGGGGCGCTCTCTCTGCCTCCGGGACCCAATGCCCCAGTGTGGTGCTAGGGGGCGCTGTGCTGCTGTGGGTACCACCCTTTGCAAGTGCTGTAATCCCGGGGCCCTGGCACGTGGGAGTGATGGGGAGGGACCCTGGAGTCCTGACGAAATCCCGGCTCTGGTCGCTGCAGTCTCTTCCCTTAGGGGGCCGAGCCCCCCCGCTGGGCCCGGGCATTAACGGCCCCTGTGCGTGGGATTGGGGCGCTGCCTGCAGGAATCCCGCAGTTAAAACCTCGGTGTGGTTTGTCGCTGGCTTTATTGTCCCGGGGGCAGGTCAGCTTTCCCAGGGGGGTGGGTGGGGGGCAGTGACCCTCAGGCCTTGTCTGCACCAGGCTTTGAGCCGCAAGCCTCTAGGGTGGTCGCGTGCCCTGCAGTCCCGGCAGCATTGACGCCCAGGGAACCTGGGGTCCCTGCTGGCCTAGCTTGGGGCTCAGGACTAGCCTGCCACCCTGACGACTCCTCTCCCTCCCTCCCCGGCTGGGCCCCGCTGCCGGAGCGTGGGAGCCTGGCCGAGGAGCCAGCTGGAAAAACATCCATCTCCCCAGGAAGCCGGGCTGAGCGCTGAGCTGGGGAGGCCGGCCCGGCAGCTGCTGCGCCATGGCTGAGTTGCGAAGCCTGGCACTGCCAGCCCCAGCCAGACGGGTGCCCAGCCGGGGCCCTGTGCCGTGCTCTGAGTCCCCGGCCGGAGCGAGGGTAGAGAGCGCGAGCGGGACTGGGGCGGGTAGTGCCACTGGCCTGTGCCGTTCAGTGCACTGCGTGAACTGGGCCCCCGGGGAGCCACTGGCTTCAGACCCGCTCAGGGTCTGCTCTGGAGTTTGCAGAGCTGCTGGCCTGGAGACGCTCGGCTCTTCGGGGGCCTCTCCCTT